CGATGGGGATAGGCTCTGAGAAATGCATCATTATGAGATTTTGTCTTTGTGCAACCATCATAGAGTGCACTTATACAAACCTAGATATTATAGCCTACTACACACCTAGGCTGTATGGTACAGCCTACTATTCCCACGCTACAAACCTGTACAGCACGGGACTGTACTGAATACTGCAGGCCTTGTAACACAGTGGTATTTGTGTATCTAAGCATAGAAAAGATGCAGTAAACCGATGGTATTAGAATTTTATGGGTCCATCATTGACCAAAACATCATATGTGGCATGTGACTGCATATCTCTTAATTATAATGCCCTTTAATTTTTAAATCACTTCACTGAAGAGTAAAAAGGAAACTGGAAAAAAAAAAAAAAAAAGATGACCTTGACAATGTATTTTTATTTCTTTTTTTTTGAAACAGAGTCTCCCTCTGTCGCCCAGGCTGGAGTGCAGTGGCCGGATCTCAGCTCACTGCAAGCTCCACCTCCCGGGTTTATGCCATTCTCCTGCCTCAGCCTCCCGAGTAGCTGGGACTACAGGCACCCGCCATCTCGCCCGGCTAGTTTTTTGTATTTTTTAGTAGAGACGGGGTTTCACCGGGTTAGCCAGGATGGTCTCGATCTCCTGACCTCGTGATCCGCCCGTCTCGGCCTCCCAAAGTGCTGGGATTACAGGCTTGAGCCACTGCGCCCGGCCGCATTTTTATTTCTAAAAGTGTAATTCTGCAAAACACTTGATCTCAATCACCAGTTTCTGGATCAGCTAGCTGCATCACAGTGGTCTGGAAATTTAGAAAAAAAAAAAAACCATGTATGAATACGTGTGTGTATGTCTGTGTATGTGTGAGATCTTTAAAAAAAATTCTATATTCTGAGGCCAAACATCCAGAGAGTCTGATCCAGTGTAATTTTTAATCTGTATTTTGTTCATAAGCTCACAGGTGGTTATCATGAGCAGCCAGGCGAAGGAGGATTGCTCTGAAACAACTTCCATAACAAATAAGATCAAAACCCTAAGCTGGGGTGTAAACAAAAGCTGATTTGATAAGCTGAACGGATCATTCTGCATCAGAACACCAACAAGCTGCAGAGACTTACTTTCGGGGGGGGCACAACTCCCCAGGCCGAAGGTGATTTCATCTTCCATTGCCCAATTCCCCACACCGCTCCCGAATCTTACAGAGAAGGGGGAAAGGCACCAAGGAACCGCAGGAGACTCAGACTCTGCCCTCTGCTCCACCAAGGAACATGGCTCCTTATACTCAGAAGCCCAAACAAGGCTTTCCCCAGCATTCCGCCAACCACTCAAACCTGTGCTGTTCAATGAGGCCATTATTTAGCTATTTACATTTAAATTAGATAAAATTAAATAAAATTCAATTCTTCAGTCCCACTAGCCACGTTTCAGTTATTCATCAGGCTCATGTGGCCAGTGGCTACTGTACTGCACCAGCACACACAAACATTTCTGTCATCACAGAAAATTCTATCAGACAGGGCCGAGCCAAAGCAGTAATTTCATTATGAACAGGTGTTTGTTCACATTTTCTCTGATGATAGGTTTGGTTTTCAAGCTTTTGTCCAGCCCCCCACTTGAGGGATACAACACCCACCCAGAGTGACAGTGACTGCTTGAGGTGAGGAATGCTGGCAGAGACAGGCAGGGAAATCTCTAGGTCAGATGTAATCTGCAAACCACCCCCAGCCACAGGTCCCCACACCCCACCTCCTCCTATGGCTGAGAATCACCATGGTTCTTAAAAAATTTTTTAAGGAGCCTTGTTCCAGTTCTAACCACAAATGCTAACCTTCTAAGATTTAAAAAAAAAAAAAAAAAAGAGACAATGTAGAGAAAAGTATTTAGGTGAAGGATCAGCTCATTCACGTAGCCAAAACAGAGCTAGTTAGAACACAGCGGTCTTTGGAAGCAAGGAGATATAAAGAGGATGTTTTTAAAGTTTCTACTGTGAAGTCTTTAACGCAGACGAAGGTAAACAAGCTCGTATGCTGAACTCCCACGTACCCATCACCAGCTTCAGCACTGACCAACTCAAGCCCACCTGGTTTCCTCTATGCTGCCTCCCCTCCACCTTGGTGCCCTTCAGGTACAGGCAGCCAAGAAGCTGTGTCCACACTGAAGGAAGAGGAAGGCCAGTGTGCAGGGGCGGAGGCTGGCCAAGGGGCTCTCTAGGGTCTAGGTGTCATCCTGGGTGACAGCAGCTAACTCTCTGAGCCTCCGTTCACTAATAAAATGAGCCCCAATCTCATCACACTGCCGGGAGGAATTCATGAAATGGTCCCTGTGAAATGCTCAGCCTCACGTCTGGCCAAGCACAGGCTCAGGAAACGTCCACTCCAGTGGCTGGTGTGGTGCCCGTCATCGTTCTCCTTCCGCAGCCCCGCCACACTGCCTGCTCTTGGTTCCACCTCCCTCGGTGTCTTCCTAACTCTTTTGAAAGCTAGCACAATTTGGTTTCAAGGTTTCAATCTGGGAGGAAAACAAAAAAATCTGCTATGGTCTGAGTGTGGGTGTCCTTCAAAATCCATACGCTGAAACCAAATCACCAAATATCAAATGGAGATGATAATGTCAGAAGGTGAGGCCTCTGGGAGGGTCAAGCCCTCATACACGGGATTAGTGCCATAAAAGAGGCCCCAGAGAGCTGCCTCGTCCCTCCCACCAGGCAAGGACACCACAAGGCGGCGGCGGCCATGAACCCGGAAGTGGGCCCTCACCCGATGAATCTGCCCTTGTCTTAATCTTTGACTTCCCAGCCTCCAGATCTGTGAGAATAAACATTTGTTTATACGTTGCCCAGTTTATGATATTTTGTTATAGCAGGCTTAAACAGACTAATTCTCTGTTCTATTAAATGTCCATACAGAAAGAGATAATATTATCACCACTACCGTGGTGGCTTACGACTGCACCCACCACTGCTGCTGTGATCACGGCCTCCACTGCCATTGGCACAATGAGGCAGAATAATACCAACCACCAGCTGCTAAGCTTCCATTCTACGTTGAGCACTGTGTTAAACGCTTTATCAACATTATCCCATTCAGTCCTCACAGGCACCCTGTGAGATTCCTCTCTCATTTCCACTTGACAGTTGAGAAAATAGATTCAGAGAATTTAAGTGACTTCCCTAAAATCACACAGCTGAGGAAACTTTAAACCCAGGTCTGCCTGACTCAGAAGCTCCATGCCTCCCACCACCAAACCACAGCTAAAATCCTCCTGCAGCTAAGGTTTGATGTGAGAACCCACCCTTGCTCACCAAAATGAAAAGACATTTATATCGCATATTCTATAAGAGAAAAACTGTGAAAACAGACTCTCTTTTCAAATAGCTACTTGATGCTCTTTTTTTTTTATTTTTGAGAGATGAGGTTAAAGGGGATTTCAGGAGCACAAAAAGTGTATCTGACCAGTGAGAAAAGGAAAGAAACATAAAGAAGCACTTTATTACTACAACATTATGAACAATTCCCAGGGAAGAAATATGAGCTTGCAAATACAGGAAAGTACTCTGCAAATTAAAAAAAAAAAGTACTTCTTGCATTTTAAATCAGTTATGCGAGAAAAGTCTGAGTCCCTTCCTGGAAATAATTCATTTTCTGAGACAATTCAAGATAATGGAAGTTGAGCTACAACCTTCTTCCAATAAATTAGCCACTCCAGAGAGAGAGGTACATGTATTATAAACGCCAAATTTTTCAGGCCGGGCATGGTGGCTCACACCTGTAATCTCAGCACTTTGGGAGGCCGAGATGGGCAGATCACCTGAGGTCAGGAATTTGAGAACAATCTGACCAACATGGTGAAATCTCATCTCTACTAAAAATACAAAAATTAGCTGCACGTGATGGCACATACCTGTAGTCCCAGCTACTTGGGAGGCTGAGGCAGGAGAATTACTCGAACCCAGGAGGCAGAGGTTGCAGTGAGCCAAGACGGCACCATTGCACTCCAGTCTGGGCAACAAGAGGGAAACTCCATCACAAAAAAAAAAAAGAAAGCCAAATTTTTCTAGTTAATAAGTGGCCATGAGTTTGATGCACTTTGGGACAGGAGATATTAGTAACTCACACAGTTACACAATTTAATAAACAAAATATAGCCATATATTCCTACACAAGAAAACCAGGCCGGGCACGGTGGCTCACACCTGTAATCCTAGCACTCTAGGAGGCCGAGGCAGGCAGATCACAAGGTCAAGAGATCGAAACCATCCTAGTCAAAATGGTGAAAAATCCCGTCTCTACTAAAAATACAAAAAGTAGCCAGGCATGGTGGCCGGCAGCTGTAGTCGCAGCTACTCAGGAGGCTGAAGCAGGAGAATCTCTTGAACCCAGGAGGTAGGGGTTGCAGTGAGCCGAGATTGCGCCACTGCACTCCAGCCTGGGTGACAGAACGACTCCATCTCAAAAAAAAGAAAAAAAAGAAAACCAGAAAAACTGACACATAAAGCTTAGATATTTTAACTAGCAGGAAGCCCCTTTTAATCAACGCAGGATTTGTTGGTTTTATTCTTAGCTTAAAAGCCAGTGTGCAGTACCCTACTTTCTCTGTTAGTATTTAGTAGAGTCTGCCTCTCCTCTCCGTTAGATACTTGGAGGGCACAAATATCATTCCTCTGAGATATAAGCACCTGGCATAAGCCTGGCACAGAGTGGGTATTTAATACCTGTTTGTAGAAAGTGGGAAAAAAAAATCAATAGGAGAGAGAGAAAAAAAAAAAAGCCAATAGGACGAATCTGAAATTGTTCTTCTGCATTTCTCCTGTTTATTACCATTGCAAAAGGCTTCACCGCAAGCCCAGCCAGGGACTTGGAGGGAAAAGGGGAGAATGCCCACAGCTTGATCAACAGGCTCTGTCCACATAATTACATAAACCTAAACCCACCCGCTGGCCCATCCTCCTGCCAAGAAGAAACAGACAATGTCGACACCATCCCTTAGAAGAGAACTGAGAGGAAACAAAGCAGGCCTTGCCTTTTCGTCCTGGTACAGCTTGTTGACACTCTCCAGCTGGAAGTTGTGGCTGGACTGGATTTTGTCGAGCTGCTCCCGCTGCTTCTCCAGCTCTCCCTGGAACTCGTTCTTCTTCAGCTCCACGGCGCCTCTCTCCGCAGCCGCCCTGCGGACCCTGCCTTCCAGCTCCATGATCCGTGTCTACAAGGAGACCACAGCGTTAGGGCTGATGCCAAGTTACCCACGGAGCCTGGACCAGCTGAGTGCCCTCCACAAAGACCACCCTGGGGCCCAGGGCCAGCACCAGCCTCATATACACGAGTGCCCAAGGCTCTGTGTTTTAAGTCAACTGTAAAGAAGCTGGCACAGGTTCTTCTGGAAAAATGGTCTCTGTCAGTGTAAGTGAAGGAAGGCTCCATGCATTCACACCACGCTTCCCACTGGGTTTTCGTGAGGCTTAAATACGCTAAGTGCATAGAATGCCTCATGCTTTACCTGACATGAGATGATGCTCAAATATTTAGTTCTCCTTCTCCGCTAACAAAGCACTTAACAAATCTTTAGCAGACATGATTTCTGAAACCAGATTCAGTTCTGCAACCCAGACAAGCAGACTTCATCTGCCCAGAGAACAGGAGCTCCTGTGGAAGCTGAGACACAGGGAGTACAAGCCCAGGAGGGTAAGTGTGAGAACAGGACAAAGTGCAGACAGGCTGAGGTGCCACGGCTAAGCCCACGCGGGTTGGAATCCCTGCTCCACCTCAACCTCTCTGTGCCTCCGTCTGACACCCTGTGAAATGAGGAAAGTCAAGTCCCAACCTTGTAAGGTTTGTGCACCAAAGGAGTAATTCGTGTAAAGTACTGTGGAAGAGAAATTATTCTGACATTTATTAAAACGGTAAGAAAGACTACTCAATATGATTGCGGTAAGAGAGGGAAACTGTGCTCAATGCTGAACACATCAAACACAGCTGGGGATTTACAGTCAACGAGAGAGCACAGTGCGGGGAGCCAGTGCGTGGAAATCGCCCTCAGAGTAGGGGGATTCTTGCTAACCTGGCCTAACAAGATTCTTGCTAAACGCAGGCCAAGGACTTAGACAGCAAGGGTAGGGATGAGGAACCTGGTCAAGGATCAGGGGTAGAAGGATGGCTTAGCGGGATCCTTTGCTATGACTCAGCTGGGCACGCCAAAGACAGGGAGTGGGAGTTGGGAGGGGCCGAGATCAAGGCCTAGTCAAGACAGCGGCTCAGAAGGGCCCGATTCAAGTTTGATCAAGAGGACCATCTCTGTCACTGCTCAGCACTGTACCTGACCCATGACTGCAACAGTAAACGAGAACCTTAAAATTATCATTATTAAATGATGAAGATAAAGATTGGTACCTTTAAAAACATATTTCTTACACCCATCATCCAAGCACACTTCTAGTACTGCTCTTCGGCATCTTGTGCACTGGAGGACCGCAAACGACGGACTGTGGCCAGTGTATGTAAGCAGGCTGTCTTTCTTCCCAGACCCACCCCAGTAGCTCAAATGAAAGCTGTTAACTCACAGGAAAAGCAGGGAGGGATACAACCGCAATCCTACACAACCACAGAGGGGGCCTCTCCCACCCAAAGCGGAGCCGCTTGGGGTCTGACCCAGGGCTGTGGGGGTGTGCAGAGCCCTAAACTCACCTTACAGCACGTGCCCCGTGCAAAATGCCCTGGCTGGCAATGAACAACAAACGCCTCGGACCCCATAACAAAATAAACAAAACATAAACATAAAATAAACACAATAAACAAAACAAAACACCTGGAGATCCACGCTCCGGGAGCTCGCAATCCAGTAATTGAAGCCCAAGACGATGATGCAGGCCACCAGGGCGGCCAGCACGAGCGGCGGCGACTTCATGCTGCGACGCCCGTTTCCCAAGCCCATCATCTCAAAATCAGCACTGAGAATCTGCCAAGTAAAAGCAAATAAATACGCATCAATGCTAGTATTTATCATCTCCGAAGCAGACAGTATCATCCTTACAACAGAGAGGAAACGGGTCTTGCCAGGAAGCATGGGCTGGTAGCTGCTTCTTGATGTGCAAAGCTGTCGAGGGAGAAGAATATTCGGATGGCACGCACAGAGCCCACGGTGCTGTGCACCCAGGGCAGTGTGGCCAGCTCCCAGGACAGGCTCAGAGGAGCAGGCACCGCCCCGAAACCTGTCACAGATTAGCTCAAGACCTGGGGCAAGACATGATTTCTCTTACACTTCAGATTCCTTCCCTGTAAAATCCTTACCATACTCACCTTCCCGACAGAGTTTGAGAATTAATCATTTCTGTAAGCAGCAATGTTTGAGAAGTAATCATTTCTGTAAACACCAATAACAAATATTAAGTGCTTCCGCATCATATTAGAAAGAGTATATTGCTCATTACTCCTCAGAGACAGCTTTTTGCTTTGAGTCCTAACAAGGGAGGTTTTTTCACCCTTGACGGGATTACTAATGACAGCCAATTAAAGCATTTCTCAAGCAAAGCAGAAAAGCCATTCTAGAGGTGAATGTGAACTTCCCCGCCTCCACCCATGTACATCATTATTCAGGCACAGCCCTGGCTGTAGACGTGTCTTCTCCTTCATGACACACAACAGAAGTGGGAGGTGTGCCATCTGCCTGAAGTCACTGGGAAAAATGTGTTCCATCTTCGGATCTGAGATGGAAACAAGGCATTCACTCCACGCCAAATGAGAGCACCTTGTCTGTCGAACATTCATTTCTCACTTTAGGGACCCTATCTGTGCAACTGCTGCATCGTACACCTCAGGTCAGGAAAAACAGTGACTCTGTGTGAGAGCTACAGAGTGCACAAAAATACAGCTTAGAAGAAAGACGCCATAAATTTCGTTAATGGGCTTCAATTCAAAGCCAGGTCTGGCCGGCTGCAAGCACTGGTCTCCAGGAACAAGGAAACTAGACTTTTCCAAACGGCTTTTGCTGAGCCAGATAAAACAGAACCTTATCAGAGTGAGAGCGGTTGCACTGCAACAAATAGCCTTTGAGCACAGAGCGCCTTTCACGCCAGGGGTGTCTAGCAACAGAGGAGGGAAGGGAAGGGGAAGAGGAGGGGAAAAGACAAGGGATGGGGAGGGAAGAGGAGACCACCGAGGATTCACCTGCAAAACACAATTCTTAGCAGTGAGAACATGGGAGAGCTGATCCTCACCCGATGGTCTTTCCAAGTGGGTCACCAAAAGACTTCCTCTTTCTTAACAGCTAGCTACTAGTATGGGGGCCTGCCCGGAGATAAAGCAGCAATCTAGCCGAATCATCTAAAATAAAGCACCCCCAAAATTACCATGGGTGGAAATTCTGACCTGCGCTCATGTCTTACCAGCTTCTGGCCTCTTAGGATGAACGGGGAAACGTTTTTCTTTCAATTATCAGCTGATATCAGCAAGCACTGAATATACTCAAGGAGCATAAGTGCAGAAACAAGAAACTTCTAGAAGATTCTACAGATCTGCTGAAAAGGTGTCTCCATTGTCCTATCGTATCTCATTTTGATCACAAGAGTCTCTTTTTTGATTCTTAAATGTTTTAAAATTTTTATGTATTTATTTTAGAGACGGGGTCTCTGTCACCCAGAGTGGAGTCTTTTCCAAATGGCTTTTGCTAAGGAAAAAATGGGAAACTACACACAGTAAAGTATAAATTGGCCGGGCACAATGGCTCACGCTTGTAATCCCAGCACTCTGGAATGCCAAGGCAGGTAGATGGCCTGAAGTCAGGAATTTGAGACCAGCCTGGCCAACATGGTGAAACCCCATCTCTACTAAAAATACAAAAATCAGCCAAGCATGGTGGCACATGCCTGTAGTATCAGCTACTCAGGAGGCTGAGGCAGGAGAAAAGCTTGAACCCAGGAGGCAGAGCTTGCAGTGAGCCAAGGTCACACCACTGCACTCCAGCCTGGGTGATAGAGCGAGACTCTGATTCAAAAAAAAAAAGTATAAATTGCATCTCCTTCATCTGGGTCTTTCTATTCCAATGGTCCTCAACACTCAAGGGGCACCAGCATCACCTAGGACACTTTTTTTTTTTTGAGACGGAGTCTCACTTTGTCACCCAGGCTGGAGTGCAGTGGCACCATCTCAGCACACTGCAAGCTTTGCCCCCCAGGTTCATGCCATTCTCCTGCCTCAGCCTCCCAAGTAGCTGGGACTACAGGTGCACGCCACCAAGCCCGGCTAGTGTTTTGTATTTTTAGTAGAGACGAGGTTTCACCGTGTTAGCCAGGATGGTCTCGATCTCCTGACCTCGTGATCCGGCCGCCTTGGCCTCCCCAAGTGCTGGGATTATAGGCATGAGCCACTGCGCCCGGCCTGAAACTTAAAATATCAATACCTGGGCTCCACCACTGCATTTCTTTTCTTTTTTCCTTTTTTTTTTTTTTTTTTGAGACAGGGTCTCACTCTGTTGCCCAGGCTGACATAGCTGCCCACTGGTGCGATCCCAGCTCACCACAGCCTCAACTTCCTGGGCTCAAGCAATTCTCCCACCTGGGCGTCCCAAGTAGCTGGGATTACAGGTGTGCACCACCATGCCAGCTAATTTTTTCTACTTTTGTAGAGACGGGGTCACACTACGTTGCTCAAGCTGGTCTCAAACTCCTGGGCTCAGTGATCCTCCCGCCTCAGCCTCCTAAAGTGCTGGGAGTACAGGCATGAGCCATCACACCTGGCCCCCACCCCTGCATTTCTAATTCAATGGGGTTTAGGGCAAGGCCCAGATATTGGTATTTTTTAACCTCCCCAGGTGATTCATATGTATAGCCACTATTCTAGATGTTTCTAGATGCATATATAAGCATCAATATATTTACTTTAATCCAAACAAGATCATACCATTCACATTATTCTGCAAATGCTGTGTATTTCTTAGTAACACATCTTGCCTCCCTTTTTTAGTAGCACATTATGGTTTGCTCCATTCTTTTCAAAGGGCTGAATAGGGCACCACTGTGTGCCAAGATCTGCTTAACTGATCTCCTACAGAGAAATATTCAAGGCTTTCCAGGCTTACTTCCAACAATGCTACCATAAACAGCCTTACACAGCTGTCCCTCAGTATTCACTAGGCATTGGTTCCAAGACCCCCTGAGGACACCAAAAGCCAAGGATGTTCAAGTCCCTTATATAAAATGGCATATTTGCATCCAACCTAGGCACATCCTCCTCTAAGCTTTAAACCATGTCTAGATTACTTATAATACTTAGTACAATGTAAATGCTATGTAATTAGCTGTTAAGCCATATGTTTAGGAACTAATGACAAAAAAGTCTATACCCGTTCAGTACAGAAGCAACCACTGTAGGCCTAACTATCTTTTTGTTTTTCTGAGACATAGTCTTGCTCTATCGCCCAGACTGGAGTGTAGTGGCATAAACTGGGCTCACTGAAACCTCTGCCTCCCAGGTTCAAGGGATTCTCCCATCTCAGCCTCCTGAGTAGCTGGGATTAGAGGTGCCCGCCACCACACCCAGCTAGTGTTTTTTTGTTTTGTTTTTTGTACTTTTAGTAGAGAGGGGGTTTCACCATGTTGGCCAGGCTGGTCTTGAATTCTCGGCCTCAAGTGATCTGCCTGCCTCGGCCTCCCAAAGTGCTGGGATTACAGAAGCCACCACGCCAGGCCAGGCTTAACTACATTTTGAACAGCTAGTTGAAACTGCAGATGTGGAGCTGTGCACCCATCTCTGTGCTTACGAACTCTTACCTATGTGTACAGTCCCTTATTCACAACTTTGAAATCCAAAACAGTCTCTAAAAACTCGGATTTTTAAAAACTTTTCCAGCAACAAAACCTGAACTGAGATCAAGGTCTGATCAGAACTTGTCTGAAGCTACTTAACGTCTTTATCTTCCTCCCTTCATGTGAATACTCTTACATTTCACTGCAGAAAGATGGGTGTTTGAGTACGCGGTGCTGTCATAGATCCTCCTGGGGCTGTCACATAATTATAATAAATGCCCGGTGTTATCTGAATTCTGAACGAAGTCCTGAATTCCAAACCTAGCAGGCCTCAAGGAGCTTGAGATGAACCAACGGCAAGCTTACTGTTGTGAGGCATTGCTCAACACAGGGTCTCGTATCAGCTTTGGGGGCAGTATCACCCCATTTTGCAGGAGATGAAACAAATCACTTCTTTGTGGATCTATTTCTGGGTCAAAAATGTATGTTTTTAATATTGATAGAGCGTCTCTTCCAAAATAGTTGGCAAATTACAAAGGGAAAAACAGTTATATTACATGAAGAATCCTGGCAGATGACACCTTAGCCACTTCAAGCTTGGTATCACTGATAATGAGGCACGTCGACATCACATACCCCCGATATGGTGCACTAGGAGGGCACGGCACCTCTACGGCCTCCTGCCAGCAATGCATAACCTCAATCTCATCAGAAAATTCAGAGGAAGTCAACTCGTCGGACATTCTATAACACACGTGGCCAGCATGGTTAAAAAGATAGTGCCAAAAGGTTAATCTCTTAATTTTGATAAATTCTATGGTTAAGGGGAAACAGGGTAAAGGGTATATAGAAACTATGTGTAATATTTTTCCAACCCTTCCATAAGTCTAAACTATATAATTATTTGCTAGATCTTACCATATCTGAAACAGGTCCAACCTGTCAAATGCATGAGCCCCCTGAACCCTCTAGTTAAATATTAACATTTTTAAAATTTCCCTTTTTTTGCTGGGCGCAGCAGCTTACACCTGTAATCCCAGCACTTTAGGAGGCCAAGGCAGGCGAATCACGAAGTCAGGAGTTCGAGACCATCCTCACCAATGTGGTGAAACCCCATCTCTACTAAAAATACAAAAATTAGCTAGGGGTGGCGTGCACCTGTAGTCCCAGCTACTCGGGAGGCTGAGGCAGAAGAATCACTCGAACCCAGGAGGCAGAGGTCGCAGTGGGCCAAGATCGCGCCACTGCACTCCAGCCTGGGGACTACAGAGTGAGACTCCATCACCAAAAAAAAAAAAAAAAAATTCCTTCTTTTCATATAGGGGTTTTAATCACAATCTCCTGCAGCAGGAGAATGTCTGTTTTCTGACATGATAACACAGAAAACAAACTTTTTAAGGGTCGACAATCTCATTAGTGATATTTTCAAACATATTAATTGTGAGCACAAATGAGTGTCTTTTTATTTCTTGGCCATCTGCATGTTCATTTTGGTGAAATGCCTTCATATTCTTTGCCCAATTTTAAACTGGGGTGTTCATCTTACTGACTTGCTAAAGCTCTTTGTCTGTTAAAGGTAAACCAATCTTTGGTCCTTCATGTGAATAATTTTTTTTTCAATTTTTCATCTATTCTTTTACTTTACAGAATGTTTGCCCAAAGTTTTTGTTGCTTTTTTTTTTTTTTGAAGGTTCTACTTTTTTAATTATACTTTAAGTTCTGGGATACATGTGTAGAACGTGCAGGTTTGTTACACAGGTATACATGTGCCATGGTGGTTTGCTGCACCCATCAACCAGTCATCTACATTAGTTATTTCTCCTAATGCTAATCCCTCCCCTAGCCTCCCACCACCTCCCCCAAAAGGCCCTGGTGTATGTTCCCCTCCCTGTGTCCATGTGTTCTCATTGTTCAGCTCCCACTTATGAGAACATGTGGTGTTTGGTTTTCTGTTCCTGTGTTAGTTTGCTGAGAATGATGGTTTCCAGCTTCATCCATGTCCCTGGCAAAGGACATGAACTCATCCTTTTTTATGGCTGCATAGTATTCCATGGTGTATATGTGCCACATTTTCTTTACTCTATCATTGATGGGCATTTGGGTAGGTTTCGAGTCTTTGCTATTGTGAACAGTGCCACAATAAACATACGTGTGCATGTGTCTTCACAGTAGAATGACATATTCCTTTGGGTATATACCCAGTAATGGGATTGCTGGGTCAAATGGTATTTCTGGTTCTAGATGCTTGAGGAATCACCACACTGTTTTCCACAATGGTTGAACTAACTTACACTCCCACCAACAGTGTAAAAGTGTTCGTATTTCTCCACATCCTCTCCAGCATCTGTGGTTTCCTGACTTTTTAATGATCACCATTCTAACTGGCGTGAGATGGTATCTCATTGTGGTTTTGATTTGCATCTCTCTCTCTAATGACCACTGATGAATTGGCTGCATAAATGTCTTCTTTTGAGACGTCTCTGTTCATATCCTTCACCCACTTTTCGATTTTTTTTTTCTTGTAACTTTAAAGTTCTTTGTAGATTCTGGATATTAGCCCTTTGTCAGTTGGACAGATTACAAAAATTTTCTCCCATTCTGTAGGTTGCCTGTTCACTCTGATGATAGTTTCTTTAGCTGTGCAGAAGCTCGTTAGCTTAATTAGATCCCATTTGTCTATTTTGGCTTTTGTTGCCATTGCTTTTAGTGTTTCAGTCATGAAGTCTTTGACCATACCCATGTACTGCCTAGGTTTTCTTCTAGGGTGTTTATGGTTTTAAGTCTTATGTTTAAGTCTTTAATCCATCTTAAGTTAATTTTTGTATAAGGTGTAAGGAAGAAGTCCAGTTCTGGTTTTCTGCATATGGCTTGCCAGTTTTCCCACCACCATTTATTAAATAGGGAATCCTTCCCCATTGTTTGTTTTTGTCAGGTTTGTCAAAGATCAGATGGTTGTAGATGTGTGGCATTCTTTCTGAGGCCTCTATTTTGTTCCATTGGTCTATGTATCTGTTTTGGTACCAGTACCATGCTGTTTTCATTACTGTAGCATTGTAGCATAGTTTGAAGTCAGGCAGCATGATGCCTCCAGCTTGTCTTTTTGCTTAGGATTGTCTTGACTACATGAGCTCTTTTTTGGTTCCATGGGAAATTTAAAGTAGTTTTTTTTTTTTTTTTTTTTAAATTCTGTGAAGAAAGTCAATGGTAGCTTGATGGTGATAGCACTGAATCTATAAATTACTTTGGGCAGTATGGTCATTTTCACGATATTTATTCTTCCTATCCATGAGCATGGAATGTTTCTACATTTGTTTGTGTCCTCTCTTACTTCCTTGAGCAGTGGTTTGTGGTTCTCCTTGAATAGGTCCTTCACATCCCTTGTAAGTTGGATTCCTAGGTATTTTATTCTCCTTGTAGCAATTGTGAATGGGAGCTCACTCATGATTTGGCTGTTTGTCTATTTCAGTGTATAGGAATGCTTGTGATTTTTGCACATTGATTTTGTATCCTGAGACTTTGCTGAAGTTGCTTATCAGCTTAAGGAGATTTTAGGCTGAGATGATGGAGTTTTCTAAATATACAATCATGTCATCTGCAAACAGAGACAATATGTTCCTCTCTTCCTATTTGAATACCTTTCTTTCTCTTGCCTGATTGCCCTGGCCAGAACTTCAAATACCATGTTGAATAGGAGCGGTGAGAGAGGACATCCTTGTCTTGTGACAGTTTTCAAAGGGAATGCTTCCAGCTTTTGCCCATTCAGTATAATATTGGCTGGAGGTTTGTCATAAATAGCTCTTATTATTTTGAGATACATTTCATCAATACCTAGTTTATTCAGAGTTTTTAGCATGAAGGGGTGTGGAATTTTATCAAAGGCCTTTTCTGCATCTACTGAGAACCATGTGGTTTTGTCATTGGTTCTGTTTATGTGATGGATTATGTTTATTGATTTGCATATGTTCAACCAGTCTTGTATCCCAGGGATGAAGCTGATTTGATTGTGGTGGATAAGCTTTTTGATGTGCTGCTGGATTCAGTTTGCCAGTATTTTATCATTTCTGCATCGATGTTCATCAGGGATATTGGTCTAAAATTTTCTTTTTTGTGTCTAGGCCAGGTTTTGGTATCAGGATGATGCTGGCCTCATAAAATGAGTTAGGGAAGAGTCCTTCTTTTTCTATTGTTTGGAATAGTTTCAGAAGGAATGGTAGCTCCTCTTTGTATCTCTGGTAGAATTCAGCTCTGATTGTGTCTGGTCCTGGGTTTTTTTTTTGGTTGGTAGGCTATTAATTATTGCCTCAATTTCAGAACTTGATATTGGTCTATTCAGGGATTTGACTTCTTCCTGGTTTAGTCTTGGGAGGGTGGATGTGTCCAGGAATTTATCCATTTCTTCTAGATTTTCTAGTTTATTTGCATAGGGGTGTTTACAGTATTCTCTGATTTTAGTTTGTATTTCTGTGGGATCAGTGGTGATCTCCCCTTTGTCATTTTTTATAGTGTCTATTTCAGTCTTCTCTTTTTTCTTCATTAGTTTGGCTAGCAGTCTATCTATTTTGTTAATCTTTTCAAAAAGCCAGCTCCCGGATTCAGTTTTTTTTTTTGAAGGGTTTTTCGTGTCTCTATCTCCTTCAGTTCTGCTCTATTTCTTGTTTTCTGCTAACTTCTGAATTTGTTTGTTCTTGCTTCTCTAGTTCTTTTAATTGGGATGTTAGGGTGTCAATTTTAGATCTTTCCCACTTTCTCCTGTGGGCATTTAGTGCTACAAATTTCCCTCTAAACACTGCTTTCACTGTGTCCCCAAGATTCTAGTACGTTGTGCCTTTGTTCTCACTGGTTTCAAAGAACTTATTTCTGCCTTCATTTCGTTATTTACCCATTAGTCATTCAGGAGCAGGTTGTTCAGTTTCCATGTAGTTGTGTGGTTTTGAGTGAGTTTCTTAATCCTGAGTTCTAATTTGATTGCACTGTGGTCTGCGAGACTGTTTGCTATGATTTCCATTCTTTTGCATTTGCTGGGGATTGTTTTACTTCCAATTACATAGTCAATTTTAGAATAAGTAAGATGTGGTGCTGAGAAGAATGTATACTCTGTTGATTTGGGGTGGAGAGTTTTGTAGATGTCTATTAGGTACGCTTGGTCCAGAGCTAAGTTCAAGTCCTGAATATCCTTGTTAATTTTCTGTCTCATTGATCTAATATTGACAGTGAGGTGTTAAATTCCCCCACTATTATTGTGCAAAAGTCTAAGTCTCTCTCTCTGTAGGTCTCTAAGAACTTGCTTAATGGGGCTGGGTGCAGTGGTTCACGCCTATAATCCCAGCACTTTGGGAGGCCAAGGCAGGCAGATCACGAGGTCAGGAGATAGAGACCATCCTGTCTAACATGGTGAAACCTCATCTCTGCTAAAAACACAAAAAATTAGCCAGGCATGGTGGCAGGCACCTGTAGTCCCAGCTACTCTGGAGGCTGAGGCAGGAGAATGGTGTGAACCCAGGAGGCGGAGCTTGTAGTGAGCTGAGATCGTGCCACTGCACTCCAGCCTGGGTGACAGAGTGAGACTCCATCTCAAAAGACCAAAAAAAAAAAAAAAAAAAACAACTTGCTTTATGAATCTGGGTGCTCCTGTATTGGGTGCTAGCTCTTCTTGTTGCACGGATCCTTTTACCATTATGTAATGCCCTTTTTTTTTTTTTAAATCTTTGTTTAAAGTCTGTTTTTTCAGAGACTAGGATTGCAACCCCTGGTTTTTTTTATTTTGCTTTCCGTTTGCTTGGTAAATATTCTTCCAACCCTTTATTTTGAGCCTATGTGTGTCTCTGCATGTGAGATGGGTCTCCTGAATACAGCATACCGATGGGTCTTGACTCTTTATCCAATTTGTCAGTCTTCTAATTGGGGCATTTAGCCCATTTACATTTAAGGTTAATATTGTTATGTGTGAATTTGATCCTGTCATTATGATGCTAGCCAGTTATTTTGTCCATTAGTTGATGCAGTGTCTTCATAGTGTCGATGGTCTTTACAATTTGGTATGCTTTTGCAGTGGCTAGTACTGGTTTTTCCTTTCCATATTTAGTGCTTCCTTTGGGAGCTCTTGTAAGGCAGGCCTGGTAGTGACAAAATCTCTCAGCATTTGCTTGTCTGTAAAGGATTTTACTTCTCCTTCGCTTATGAAGCTTAGTTTGGCTGCACTGAAATTCTGAGTTGAAAATTCTTTCTTTAAGAATGTTGAATATTGGCCCCCACTCTCTTCTGGTTTGTAGGGTTTCTGCAGAGAGATGTGCTGTTAGTCTGATGGGCTTCCCTTTGTGGGTAACCTGACCTTTTTCTCTGGGTGCCTTTAACATTTTTTCCTTCATTTCAACCTTGGTGAATCTGACAATTATGTGTCTTCAGATTGCTCTTCTCGAGGAGTATCTTTGTGGTGTTCTCTGTACTTCCTGAATTTGAATGTTGGCCTGTCTTGCTAGGTAGAGGAATTTCTCCTGGATAATATCCTGAAGAGTGTTTTCCAACTTGATTCTATTCTCCACGTCACTTTCAGGTACACCAGTCAAATGTAGGTTTGGTCTTTTCACACAGTCCCATATTTGTTGGAGGCTTTGTTCATTCCTTTTCATTCTTTTTTCTCTAATCTTGTCTTCACACTTTATTTCATTAAGTTGATCTGCAATCTCTGATATCGTTTCTTCCACTTGATCGATTTGGCTATTGATACTTGCGTATGCTTCACAAAGTTCTCGTGCTGTGTTTTTCAGTTCCATCAGGTCATTTGTGTTCTTCTCTAAACTGGTTATTCTAGTTAGCAATTCCTCTAAACTTTTTTCAAAGTTCTTAGCTTCTTTGCATTGGGTTAGAACATGCCCATTTAGCTCAGAGGAGTTTGTTATTACCCACCTTCTGAAGCCTGCTTCTGTCAGTTCATCAAACTCATTCGTTATCCAGTTTTGCTCCCTTGCTGGTGAGGAGCCGTGATCCTTTGGAGGAGAAGAGGCATTCTGGTTTTTGGAATTTTCCACCTTTTTGTTCAGGTTTTTCCAAATCTTCATGGATGTATCTACCTTTGGTCTTTGATACTGGTGACCTTCGGATGGGGTTTCTTTGTGGACGTCCTTTTTGTTGATGCTTTTCCTTTCTGTTAGTTTTCCTTCCAACAGTCAGGCCCCTCTGCTGCAGGTCTGCTGGAGTTTGCTGGAGGTCCACTCCAGACCCTATTTGCCTGGGTATCACCAGCGGAGACAACAGAACGCAAAGATTGCTGCCTGTTCCTTCCTCTGGAAGCTTTGTCGCAGAGGGACACCCACTAGATGACAGCTGGAGCTCTTCTGTATGAGGTGAGCTGTCAACCCCTGCTAGGAGGTGTCTCCCAGTCAGGAGGCACAGGGGTCAGGGACCCACCTGAAGAGGCAGTCTGTCCCTTAGCAGACCTCGAGCACTGTGCTGGGAGATCTGCTGCTCTCTTCAGAGCTGGCAGGTGGGAACATTTAAGTCTGCTGAAGCTGTGCCCACAGCTACCCCTTCCCCCAGGTGCTCTGCCCCAGGGAGATGGGAGTTTTATCTATAACACTGAGGCTGTTGCCTTTCTTTCAGAGATGCCTTGCCCAGAGAGGAGGAATCTAGAGAGACAGTCTGGCCACAGTGGCTTTGCTGAGCTGTGGTGGGCTCCACCCACTTTGAACTGGCAGCTTTCTTTACACTGTGAGGAGAAAATCACCTACTCCAGCCTCAGTAACAGCAGATGTCCACCCCCCGCACCAAGCTCGAGCATCCCAGGGCAACTTCAGACTGCTTTGGTGGCAGTGAGAAATTCAAGCCAGTGGATCTTAGCTTGCTGGGCTCCATGGGGGTGGGATCCAATGAGTTAGACCACTTGGCTCCCTGGCTTCAGGCCCCTTTCCAGGTAAGGGGATGGTTCTGTCTCACTGGCATTCCAGATGCCACTGGGGTATGGAGAGAAAAAAAAAAAAAAAACTCCTGCAGCTAGCTCAGTGTTTGCCCAAACGGCCGCCCACTTTTGTGCTTGAAATCCAGGGCCCTGGTGGTGTAGGCACCTGAGGGAATCTCCTGGTCTTCGGGTTGGGAAGATCGTGGGAAAAGCATAGTATCTGGGCCAGAGTGCACTGTCCCTCACGGCACAGTCCCTCACAGTTTCCCTTGGCTAGGGGAGGAGTTCCCCAAACCCTTGTGCTTACCAGATGAGGCGATGCTCCACACTGCTTCGGCTCACCCTCCGTGGGCTGCGCCCACCGTCTAACCAGTCCCAATGCGATGAGCCAGGTACCTCAGTTGGAAATGCAGAAATCACCTGTCTTCTGTGTTGATCTCGCTGGGAGCTGCAGACCAGAGCTGTTCCTATTTGGTCATCTCGCCAGTCACTCTGTTGTTGTTTTAAATAACCTAATCTTGTCAACCTTTTATTACTTCTCGATTGTTGTTATATTTAGAAGGGCATTTCTTACTCTAAGTCTATAAACACACTTACCCACATTTTTTTCCAATGTAGTTTCATATTTACGTTTAAATTGTTCGTCCATTTAAAATTCCTTTTTGATGTAAAGAGTAAGGAAATATAAATACTGCAGACGTAAGGAAATACAAAGAATGCAGCTTGTCTCTTCCTGTAGTGACAAGCCAGTTCTGCCAGCGACCTTTACTGAATAATCTATTTTCACCTACTGCTTTGAACTATCTATTTATACCAAATTTTCTAATAATATACTTTTTTTTTTTTTTTTTAAGAGATGGAGTCTTGCTTTGTCGCCCAGGCTGAAGTGCAGTGGTACGATCATGGCTCACTGCAGCCTCAAACTCCCGGACCCAAGCAATCCTCACACCTCAGTCTCCGAGTAGCTGGGACCATACGCACACACCGCCGCACATGGCTTAACAAAATACTTTTAGATATGACCATTGCAAGGCCTTTTGTTATTCTAGTAGATGTAAGTCAGTGGGTGGGGTATATTGTAAGTTTGAAAGCAGAAAATAAACTCCATTCTCACTTCAAGGGAAGTGTACAGATAATCATGTAATATTCTCTTTCCCTTAGACAGCCAATAAAAAATGTATTGAGCAGCTACCATGAGTCAGGTGCTGTATTCACATCAGGCAGCTCAGGGTGGTGTTAAGAGCACAGACTGGAATCCCACAGCCATGTCTGACCCTGGCTCTCCCACTCAGGGGACATAGGACCTGCCTGTGCCTCACTGTCCTGCTCACAAGGGTTTTACGAGGATTCAGTGAGTTAAGTGAGAAGCGCTTAGAGCTACATTTGGCACATAGTAAGTGCTCAACAAATGTTGACAATTATTAGGGATGGAAAGTAGAATAACACATCATTTCTGGATTCAATCTTTTTTCCATTTTGAGGAAACAGTGATGCATGTTTTCCTTCCATAACCATTCTACTTTATAGCAACCAGCCCTCCTCTTTCCTTCTCCTGACTCTGCCACCAACTAAAACAGCAGTACCTGCCATTACCTGGGGCTGACCTACAGATGCCACTCCCGCAGTGGACATCCCAGACCAGGACCATATTATGAAAAAGGTTTGAGGAAGCCAAACCTCAAACGGTCCTGGAAGTTGTACAATCCTGGAAGCCCCTCACTATCACCCAGTGCTTGGCTGGCACTGTCTCGTGCCAGCTGTCTAGACAGCACTCTTAGGAGAGCCCTGGGCTCCCAATGGGAGCAGGGCTGCCCCGGTAAGCAGTGACATGAGGAAGGGAGGTAACGCAATCAGCCTTCAGGCCTGCAAGGCGCTTCCTCACAGGCTTCCAGGAGTGCAGGAACCCTTGCTGCTGAAGGATGAGGGACAGATACTGGCGAGAAATGATCAAGATTGATGAAGGCTGAGGGCAGAACTCAGAGGCAGAGTTAATTTAATATTCATTTTCATTTAAGCTTCAGAATGTTTGTCTCATACTTGATTATAAGCTTCCAACATACTGAAAATGATTAACTTAAATCACCTAAACTCTGTGAGGCACCAGGCTTTCCCAAAATGAAAACAAGTGGTGTGTTTTTGCATTAAAAATCACTTGATAGGCTGGGTGCGTGCAGTGGCTCACGCCTGTAATCCCAGAACTTTGGGAGGCCAAGGCAGGCAGATCACCTGAGGCCAGGAATTTGAGGCCAGCCTGGCCAGCATATCAAAACCCTGTCTCTACTAAAAATACAATTAGCCAGGCATGGTGGTATGTGCCTGTAATCCCAGCTACTTGGAGGCTGACGCAGGAGAATCGCTTGAACTTGGGAGGCAAAGGTTGCTGTGAGTCGAGATTGTGCCACTGCGCTCCAGCCAGGGTGACAGAGCAAGACTCTGCCTCAAAAAAAAGAAACCCCCCCCCCCCCCCCCCCACCAAATTATCTGGGTGTGGTGGCACACACCTGTAATCCCAGCTACTTGGGAGGCTAAGGCATGAGAATTGCTTGAACCCAGGAGACAGAGATCGCGTCACTGCACTCCAGCCTGAGCGACACAGTGAGATTTCTGTCTCAAAAAAAATAAAAAAAATAAAAAAAATAAAATCACTCAATAAATCAGAAAAGAAAAAACTCCATATTCTTACCTACTGGTTTAATTAAGTTAAAATTTCAACCTATTGGTTAAAATTATTATTTGCTTGTAAGACAAAATGTTTGTAATTTAACAAAGACTTCTAATCACTTTTTAAAAAGGAAACAAAAGGCATATGAAAATGTACAACATGCCAAATACACGAGCCCCTTGACCCTCCTAGTTAAATATCATGTTTAACATTTCCTTATTTTCATATAGGACTTTTAATCAGAAAAGCAAATATATAGGAGCGATCGGGTCAGATTAACATGTTTGACCAACGTCAACCAGTGCAGAAACTGGGCTTCTCCAAACACTGGTGGAGCCACACCTCTCTTCCTTCTCAGAGGAATGGCCCCAGCGGCTCAGCAGGAAGTTCAGAAGTCACTGCAATGAGCAAACAGACCTGAGCACACCCCAGCGCAGCCTGGAGTCCGGGAAAGAATCAGTCACCAAGTTTTCTGATGGCTTGGAAATATTCCACCCTGTCCCAAGACTGTCTAAACCAGGGGTGAGCAAACTATGGCCCACAGGCCATATCCAGGCCTGGTTTTTTTTTGAAGTTGTACTGTACACAGCCATAAATACTGCCTATGGCTGCTTTCTGGCTACAAAGTAGAACTGAAATAGCTGAGACAGAGACCTACCCACAGACCAACTCTGCCCATAGGGTATCATGAGGATTAAACATTTACCATCTGACCATTTAGACAAAGTTTGTCAACTCTGCCTCTAACCCACTGGGATTAAATGACCAAGGTCACTGTGTTCTGCTTAAATTGCTTTAAAAACTTACTAGGAAATACACAGAATCTCTTCCTCTCACTTCCCCAAAATGAACACTAGCTTTTCTCCAATGCTAGAAGCTGACAGTGTCTAAAGATGAAAACTTTTAAAATCAATGTATAGTGGTAGGTGGTAGAAACACCAAAAAGCAAGGGAGATGAGTGAAAATGAACTAGAGAACCAAATTCTTCCTGTTTTGAAATTTTCTGAAGAAAGGCCACCCACCGTCAAGAATATATCCTGGAGCCAGTATGGTGGCTCATGTCTGTATTCAGCACTTGGGGAGGCTGAGGCATGAGGATCACTTGAGCCCAGGAATTCGAGACCAGATTGGTCAATGTTATGCAGGGAGACCCTGTCTCTACAAAAAAATATTTAGAAAAGAATACATCTTGGGCCAGGCATGGTGGCTCACGCCTGTAATCCCAGCACTTTGGGAGGCCAAGGCAGGCAGATCACCTGAGGTCGAGAGTTCAAGACAAGCCTGACCAACATGAAGAAACCCTGTCTCTACTAAAAATACAAAATTAGCCAGGCGTGGTGGTGCATGCCTGTAATCCCAGCTAGTTGGGAGGCTGAGGCAGGAGAATCACTTGAACCTGGGAGGCCGAGGTTTCGGTGAGCTTAGACTGTGCCATTGCACTCCAGCCTGGGCAACAAAAGCAAAACTGTCTCAAAAAACAAAAATACATCTTGGTAGAAGCTCAATTTTCCCTTGAGTTCAGGAGCCACAAACTGTAGCCCAAGGGCCCGATCCTGCCAGGCATCTATTTTTGTACGCTGCCCACAATTAAAAATAGTTGTTTTTTTTTTTTTTAATTGAGACAAGGGCAAGCTCTGTCACCCAGGCTGGAGTGCAGTGGCACAATTTCAGCTTACTGTAACCTTCCCCTCCTAGGTTCAAATGCCTTAACCTCCCAGGTAGCTGGGATTTGAATGCCTCAACCTCCCAGATAGCTGGGATTATAGGCACATGCCACGATGCCCAGCTAATTTTTGTATTTTCCTTTTTTTTTTTTTTAAGTAGAGATGGGGTTTCACCATGTTGGCAACGCTGGTCTTGAACCCCTGACTTCAAGTGATGTGCCCACCTCAGCCTCCCAAAGTGCTGGGATTACAGGCGTGAGCCACCACACCTGGCCAGTTTTTACATTTTCAATGGTTGAAGAAAGTTAAAATATTACTATTTCATGAGAGAGTGCTTCACAGGGCTGAGAAATTCTCCACATATTCCTGGCTGACTGGAAGATTATGCGAGCATGGGGAAGACCCAAAAAAGCCCAGCAGAGCTGAAAACCAAGAACTGAGAACCAGCTGAAACTTGCAGTGTTCCCCAACCCCCACACAGACCTACTGTTAGAGGGATGGAGACTGACCCAGCAGGTGACTCCTGGTTCAGTGCTCCTTGGAGAATCTGGACACCATGAAGTGGTATTAGATGTCAGTTTAGCTACCCGTTATTTTGAGTGCTGCCTTAGCGGAACTGTTGAGGCAGTATGGCTTAGGAAAAGAGCACTGATGGGGGTCAGGCCAAAGGGAGTTTTAATCCTAGCTCATTATTTGCACAAATTTTGGTGAGCTGTATAATCTGCCTCTCTGTATCTTATTCAATCCTTGTAAAAGTCCATTGAAGTAGGCTTACTACTGTCCCCATGTTCTAGGATGCAGTGATATGAGACTTTAAATCTGTAAAACCTTTTGTTGTTAGGATTAAAAATTACAGTGGCAATAAAGTACACACCACATGATAATAGCTCAACAGATTGGTTTTTTTTTTTTTTTTTTTGGTTTGGAAATAAAAGGATATCTCATGAAACATGAAAATCACATGAAATTAAAACTTCAGTATCCATAAAGTTTTATTGGAACACAACTATGCCCATTCATTTACATATTGCCTGTGGCTATTGGGCTATAAGAGCAGAGCTGAGAAGTTGTGACAGGGACCATAGGGTCTGCAACACCTAAAATAGTATCTGGTCCTTTTCAGAAACAGGTTGCTAACTCCTGCTGTAGTCCAATGGTTCTTAAAGGGTGGTCCCCATATTAGCAGCATCAGCATTACCTTGGAATGTGTCAGAAATGCAAATTTTGTGGCCCACCCCAGACTGACCAAATCAGAGGTCTGTTTATTTTACTAATAAATGCAAACACAGGAGAGCAAAAGACCTTGAGCAAAGCTCTGTACTGAGCCAGCCTTGCATGAGTTACCTCATGAAGTAGAAACCATGCTGATGTAATCAGATCTGACAAGACACAGGCCAAAATACTTAAAATTAAGAGAAAATATTTAAAACAGGGTTTCTACCTCTAATGTTATTAACAACAAATCCAGCCCTATGTGTATATTGGGCCTTGAGATACAATATAACTGTAACAGCAAATACATTGTTTATAAATAAGCAATAAATGCACATAAAGGAGAGTGTTAAGAACTTTTTTTATTACTGAGAAACATCAAAAAAGTTGGGAAACGATAGCAAATTACAATATAAACAACTATAATCATATTATATAGTATTCATATATGTACTTTTTTCTGTCAGACACGAATCTTCAAAATCTTAGCAAGGGGAAGTCCTATTAATAAAGCGCTTAAGGGTTTTAAAGGAAAATAAGATCAAAATGTAAAAATCTGAAAAGGCATGGACTTTTTTTTTTTTCCTGAAAGTGTGAGAAATACCTGTGTGAAAGAAAGGAATGACTCTCTCGAGATTTAAGAAACACTTCATAAGTTTGGAGACAAGTCTCTCTTTTAACGTCTCTTCATCAACAACTTGAAAAGTCCAGAAAAACACCACGATCTTTAAGAACAGTTTTTGGGGAGGAAGTGAAGTATCATTCGCCCTTTTCTAAGGTGAGAGCAAAAGCATAGTAGGACCATTCCTTCTGTTCCTTCTACTTTTTTACAAATGTTTTAAAAATTCTTTTACAAAAACAGAAGTGCTTTTAAAAAATCCCAATTACGAATGTTGTTTCTCACATTAGACCACTGAAAAAGAAATGTATCTTTTTTCACTGGGCAACTTTTTTTTTTTCTTTTAAGAAAAAACAAGTAATAATAATGCTGCAGAATTTAAACCAGAGGCAGGGAACACCGCTCCCCCGCCCCCAGTGGCCACCCCAGGTCCTTTGAGAAATGGGGCTGGACCTCAGGGACCACGCTGCCTTCAAGTTCCCTTGCAGCAACAGTACCCATCAACTGACATCTGTCTCCTCTCAGCACACCTGCCTAAAGTGATGCTCCACCCTTCCTACTGATCACACAGATGCATTTTCCTCAGGTTCTGCCCTCCGTACTTCCAATGCAGAAAGCCAGCTAGCACTTTCACAGGATAAGGGTAGCAGTTCCCTCCTTCTGGGGAAGGTGGCCATATATACAAACCCAGGTAGCCCCAGGCCTGCTATGGCCAGCTGTCCTAACTGTTGTTTCTGCCCAGGCCTCAACAGCAGCAGCAGCGGGTGGAATGTAAATGCAAAATCTTTTCATTTCCCATCAATAACTGAACCTAAACCAGCAATTAGGAAGCAGATGGTATCCTTGGCCCCTAATATCCAAGTCACCACAATTTCCTGGCCCCACCCTCAGCACTCCTTTCCTCTCATTTCTTTCATTTTCCTGTAAAACCAACTTAAAAAAAAAAAAAAATGTGAAAATTGGATAACCTCTCCATAGGAGAACAAAATATATCTTAAAAGCTAACCTCTTTTCTTTAAACATCCTAATAATTCAATTTCTTTTTGTTCACTGACACCTTAAGAATTGAGTGGCCTAAAAACAGTAAGTCTTAGCGAGTTACTAGTTTCTATTTATAAAGAAAGTAAAAGTATTCTTCAAATAGCATGAGCTTAGCTTCATCTTTTATAGCACAACTGGAAGAAGCTAGGATGCCTTTGGAGACCCACAAAAACTAACAAGAGATTGTCCCATGCCCACCAAAATTCAGAATACTAAAACTGAGATTTGAGCCAACCTGATGGCCATGAGCTAAACAAAGCCACTCAAGCGCCGCTAAACACTTCATCAGGTTACTGCATATCTCACTAATCCAGTCCTAGAAATGTTCAATAATTTGCATAAGGTAGGGCCTAGGGACCCCAAATCAGACAAAGGAAACCTCAAAACCGTGAAAGTCACACAAGTTTAGTTATACAAATCTGGCTATGGGACATCTGAAATTGTCCAGCATCATCACGATATTTCAAATATAATAATTCTTAAATTTTGCTTTAAAAATTCATCAAAATTGTTATTCACATTTTGCTTCTTAAAAGCAAGTCATTAAAAACATTAAACAGGATATGCTCTTTAAAGCAGGGCAAAGTTGTGTGGATCCTCCACGCTGGCAAAGGTGGAAACGCAGGTATGCGGGAAAACCTCGAGCATCCGCGAGAACCGGCTGCAGCCGCGCTCTGGCCGCGCGGCGGGAGGACCCGGCGCCAAGCTCCGGGGTCACTAGCCAGGAGGCCCCGCGACAACATGGACCCCAGGGCGGCCGAAGCGCGCCTGGGGTTGGAGGGGAAGAGGAGGAGGCGGGAGCCGAGAGGCTCGCGGCTCGGCCAGCCCTCCGCGCCTCGTGCAAATCACGCCGCAGAACTGGAACTAGTACGACTTTGGGGGTGCACGCTTTTGACTTTGGATGCCGACGCGCGTGACAAAGCTCAGAACAAAAAGAAAGGCCCCGCATCGCCTGAGACTGCAGGGCAGGGAATCCTCGCGAGGCCCCTCATCGCAGGGCCAGGGGGCCGCGCGCCCGGCCTTGGGGAGCGAGCCGAGGGGCCCGGGCGGCCACGGGCTGCTCGGTGCAGGAAGGTGCGGCGCCAGCCCCGAGAGCAGCCAGCGAAGGCTGGAGCCCCGGCGCAAGCCGCAGCGAGGGTCCGGGGACCGACGCGAGGTCTCGGGGAGCGGGGCACGGGGCCGGGGCAAAGGAGGGAGGAAGCGAGGGACCCCGGTTCGGGAGGCCTGGGGCTGCGCGCCGCCCACTCACCTCTT